AGAGAGAGAGAGAGAGAGAAAGAAAGGAAAAGAAAGGGAAGGAAGGAAGGAAGGAAGGAAGGAAGAAGTCTTCCTCTTCCTTGTGATTCTGCAGTCAGTAGCTCTGACCATGTGGCTGTCCCTGCCACTGACTTAGGGGGCTTCTGCCCTCAGGCCCAAGTTGCACACTTAACACCCTGCGGTATAAACCTTGGCTGCCTGCGATACTAGGTTCAGTGCTCCCACCGTACTGTGCGGTGTCTCCTGCCCCCTGGTGGAGGATCAGTGCAACTGTCCCGGCTGCAAAGCCCTATAAGGAAAAGGTGTCCCCAAACTGAGGGCACATGCCGGGTGGGCTGGCTGCACTGCCCCACTATCTAATCCTCAGAGCCACTCATGATACATCTTATAGCTCCTACTGCATGCTAGACAGGGCTACAGATGTTGGTGAGATTTAGCAGCAAGGCCACACCAGTCAGTCTTGGTGACTGACAGGGGCAGTGTTGAAGTTAGCAGCAGGATCAAGGAAATGTTCATGCTCCGTAACAGGGCCAGCCACGAGAGACTAAGTTACAAGGGTGGGCACACCCCCCAACTCCCACCTCCACAAGCCCCAAACAGCTGGGAAGAACCAAGTAGAGAGTACTAGCCCTCGCCAAGGAGGAGGGGTTCTTGGCCCACTGCTAGCTCCAGGTGTCTACTTGAGAGAACCAAAAGAAACGTCCAGAATAGGGGCAGGGGAGTAATACGACCTGGCTTGGCGGTGGCCGCGCAAGCCTTTTATCCCAGAACTCAGGAGGCAGAGGCAGGTGGATCTCTGTGTTCAGAGTGAGTTCCAGGACAGCCAGGGCTACACAGAGAGAGCCTGTCTTGAAGAATGAAGGGGAGGGGAAGCCTTCCCATCCCAAAGAGCCGCACTCCCCGACTCAGCCTGAGTTGGCTGGTTCTTTGAAGTCATGTGGGTTGTCACCCCTTCTTGTTTGAAATGTTTTCTAGGTCACAGCGCGGACCCGTGCTGTGTTCCTCTTCGTGACTGAATACTGCTCTATCACTTTTCACTGGGAAAAAAAATTAATGGCTGTGTGGTGGTCCCCAGGATGCAGACGGCACAGAAGGGTCATAGAGGAAGGTTGTGGGGACCTGTCTGGCCCAGACACGGCACCTGATCATATCCTGATCAATCGCTGTTTCTGGGGCACAGACGAGTCTGCCCTTGGTTTGTGATGTTCTCTCTGCTCACTTCCTGTGTGATCTTCTCCTTGTATGTGTTCATTCGCTTAATCATGTAGCCAACTCTGGGAACTATGACCTCCACCCAGTTTAGAGAATCCGTGTACCTGTGACCGGGCCCTCCCTTCCCTTCTTCTCCCCTCCATAGCTATCAACCTATTTTTGTTTTTGTTTTTGTTTTTGTTTTTTTCCTAGCAGTTTATTGTGTTGCCATTCAATAAGATTTTTCCCTAAGTCGTGTTGTTTAATTTGTACTTGCTTAGTGCTTCTTGGAGACATGTTACACTTCCGATCATTTTTTTTTATTTTAATCTGACACAGAATTTCTCTGTGTAGCCCTGGCTGTCTGTAGACCAGGCTGAGCTCTGAGCACTGGGATTAAAGGTGTGCACCACCATGTGTGCCTCCAGGCCCAGCCTGTGGATCACCTTCCAGGGCTTTGTCTCTGCCCTAGTGTGTCCCTAAGATCCCTGCCTGGCTTTACGGGAACTCCCGTTTCGCTGCTGTGTTCCACCGAGTCCACACTATTACTCTTTGAACATCTGGGTTGGTGCCATGATTTTGCTGTGGAATACTCGGAAGAGCTACTTTCTGCTGCCCTACCGCCTCTTTCTTAACCTTGAACTTGTACATGGTGGGCTCATAGCATACATAAAGGGCAGATTTAGGTTTGGACTGTGCCTTGGACACCATCTTTGCTCCATCTTCACTTTTCCCATATGTACTAAGATTTTATTATCGGTCTGATTTTTTTTTTAGATGCCTGCCTAATATTCCATCAGAGCATTACTTGCTTGACCAGTTTCCCACTATTGGACACAGAGGTTGCCCCCACATTCATATGGTATAAACACAACTTGCTCTGATAATGGGCCCTTGTTCACCCTGTCACCCTCCCCACAGGTGAGCCCAAGAACTCCACAGCTTCTGTGAGCATCCCTAACGGCACAGCCTCCTCCAGCACCTCGGAAGACGCCATCAAGAACATTCTGGAACAAGCCCGCCGTGAGATGCAAGCCCAGCAGCAGGCTCTGCTGGAGATGGAGTCGGGACCCAGGGGCCGCTCCGTGCCTCCCTCCCCTCCGGAGCGGCCCTCACTGGCCACTGTGAGCCAGAATGGGGCACTGGCCTGTGTGAAGCAGGAGGATGGCGGTGGTGGCTGCAGCAGTAGCAGCAGTGGTAGCAGTGCGCAGGCGCCACTTGCTGTCCTGTCCCCGGCTGCATTTGTGCAGCGGATCATCCGCAAGGTGAAGTCCGAGATCGGTGATGCCGGCTACTTTGACCACCACTGGGCGTCGGACCGCGGCCTGCTCAGCCGACCATACGCCTCCGTGTCGCCCTCCCTCTCCTCCTCTTCCTCCAGTTACTCTGGACAGCCCAATGGGCGAGCCTGGCCCCGTGGAGATGAGGCAGCCATCGCCCCTGAGGACGAAGCAGCCATGGGCGAGGATGAGTCCCCCAGGGTGGGAGAGCTCAAGGCTGAGGCCGGGGTCCCGGAGGTGGGCGGCGGGCGGCTGCCCTACTACCCGGCCTATGTGCCCCGCACGCTCAAGCCCACGGTGCCGCCCCTGACGCCTGAACAGTACGAGTTATACATGTACCGGGAGGTAGACACACTGGAGCTGACCCGACAGGTCAAGGAGAAGCTGGCCAAGAATGGCATCTGCCAGCGCATCTTTGGGGAGAAGGTGTGGACCACGGGGGACCTGGGGACCCTGGAATAAGGCCCACTGAGACCGTGGCCCTAAGATCTGTAGTCTGGAGGGTGACCTGGGTGGGAAGCTATTTCTCAGGAACCCAGTCAGATGTCTGTCTGGTATCTAGCCATCCCTGGACACTAAGCCAGGTAACAGCCAGTCCCCTGCCTCCCACACTCCTCTGGACGTCCCGTGTCCCAGCCCCTGAAGATTAAGGACTCGGCCCAGTCCAGTACCTTAATGTCCCTGGTGCTGGAACCTCAGGTTTAAATAGCAGAAGTTCAAGCAGGGGTCACGAAACCAGAGCTGGGAGAGAAGACAAGTGGGAGGTGCAAAGTGGCATCCTGGAGGGCATGGTGACCCTCACGGTCACGTGGGAGTTCTGTACATAGGGCAGTGCTGAGGGTGGAGAGCAGGTGCTGAGCCTGGGAGCAGCCGGGAAGGCCACATATGGGATTTGCTAATATGCCTTCCACCTGTAGGTCCTGGGACTGTCCCAGGGCAGCGTGAGTGACATGCTGTCAAGGCCGAAGCCATGGAGCAAACTGACACAGAAGGGCCGAGAGCCCTTCATCCGCATGCAGCTGTGGCTATCGGACCAACTGGGCCAGGGCCAGACCCCACCCCAGCAGCCCAGCACCACACAGGGTGAGTACAGGGGATACGGCCTCCGTAGGCTCTACCCCAGACCAGTGGCCTTGCTGACCCACCTCTGCCCCCTCCATCCTCCACACGATTCTACAGCCCCCAGTACTGTCACCTGGGACACGTGTTCCTAACCCACGCCCCCTTGCCCTCCTCTCTTCTACCCAGCAGAAGTAAGTGCTGAAGGCTTGGGCCCAAGAATTTAGAGCAGGTGGGACAGACAAAGCCATTGGAGCCCTGTACTCCCTCCCCCCCCACAGGATCAAACTCACCAGCTCCCTAGAGACCCAGCATTGCTCTTCAGTCTGTCCTAGCACAGGCCTGGGCCAGCCAGCTGATCATTAATGAGGGCAGAGGCAGGGTGGAGCCTGAACTTAGCAGGGGAAGAGAACGGAGGCTCAGAGAGTCTCGGGGCCAGTGTGCAGGGCTGCCGGCGTCCTGTGGGTGGCACTTATTTGAGAATGTGGCTGCAGGCAGAAAGACTCACCTGCCCCAGAGACGGCAAAAAGGCCCAGGACCAGAGTCCAGATTTGACAGGATCCCCTGTTGGTGGGGATCCAGGGAAGCCATACCTTGAGTCACAGAAATAACCAGGACTGCCAGAGGGCTTCAAACCAGGACCGAGTGTTAGGTGACAGAATCGCAGGTCCCAGGTGACGGTTTCACTTTAAGCCATTGGACTAGAGCTCTCCTGTCAACTCGTGGCTACAAAACAGGGACAGACTGTTGATAGATGGACAGACAGGCAAAGCGAGTGACAGACAGACATCTGGCAGAGACTGATGGGCAAGAGAGGCTGCAGACAGGTGGCAGATAGACCAAACAGGTGACAGACAGGCAAGCAGCCCTCTGGGGCGGAGACAGGAGGATTGCGAGCTCAAGGCCAGTTTTAGCAATGTATGAAGGCCCATATCTCCAAGTGGAATTGTTGAAAAGAGTTAACTACCGTTCATCAGTAGAGTGTTTGCCTAGGATGAGCAAGGCCCTGGTTCAACTCCCAGTCCGACAGAAGAAGGAAAAGCTATGTAGCCTGAGGACCCTGGACAGTCCCTTCCTGGGATGCACTATGGTGGCTACAAGAAGCCTTAGTTCCAGTCTCAGCTCTGACAAGCCATCCTGCCCAGCCATGCCCAGTGGCAGTGACCACCACACTGTCTCTTGCCTACAGCCAGTCCCACTGAGCCGAGGTCCTCACCATCACCTCCCCCAAGCCCCACGGAGCCTGAAAAGACTTCCCAGGAGCCCCTGGGCCTGTCTCTGGAAAGCAGCAAAGAGAATCAGCAGCCTGAGGGTCGGGCCAGCTCCTCCCTGGGTGGGAAGCCCTTCTCAGGCAGCCAGGCTACAGGGGGCATCCAGGAGATGGTGGCCATGTCCCCAGAGCTGGACACATACTCCATCACCAAGAGGGTCAAGGAGGTCCTCACTGACAACAACCTAGGTACGTGGCGAGGCCGGGGCGCTGCCTGCAGCCCTAGACTGGCTCTTCTGGACTTGGAGCAAAGTGTCACTGGGATTCTCCAGTGACCTCAGGGCCAGCCTGGAGCTTCCATGTGAGACGCATGACTCCGACCAGGACTCCTGCTGAGGAACGAAAGGGAGGTGGCACTGCTTGACTCTCAAAACTGCCCTGTGGCAGGCCTTAAGAAGCCCCAGCCAGTTCAAACCTTTAATCCCACCACTTGGAAGGCAGAGGCAGACAGGATCTCTGAGCTGAGCCTGGGCTACACAGTGAATTCCAGGACAGCCATGTCTCAAAAAAAAAAAAAAAAATCTGTTCCCTGGAGCAATGATGATGCCTGCCCATGGGATCAGGGAGCAGGGTAACACGTTCCTCTGACTCAGAGATGCATGCCAGCTCAGTCCCCCACCAGGGACACATGCAAGCCCAACAACTGTCACCACGGCTTTTATTATGAGAGAAAGATAATGTCCCGATACCCAACACGAACTGGGCATGGTACTCATTCAGTAATCCTAGCACTGTAGGAGGCTGAGACAGGAGGATAGCCTGACTGGGCTACAGCATGAGACCTTTTCTCAAAAAAAAAAAAAAAAAAGTTAAAAGTCAATAACAAAGGGTAGCCCAGCAGTGGTGGCACATACCTTTAACAGCACTCGGGAGACAGAGGCAGGTGGATCTCTGTGAGTTCGAGGCCAGCCTGGTCTACAGAGTGAGTTTCAGGACAGCCAGGGCTACACAAAGAAACCCTGTCTGAAAAACAAAAAAGCATGGGGGCTGGAAAGATGGTTCGGTAGCTAAAGACACTGGCTGCTCTTTCAGTTCCTAGCACCCACATGTGTAGCTCACAACCATCTACAACTCTAGTTCCAGGAATCCAGTGCCCTCTTCTGACCTCCCAGGGTATCAGACAGGCAGTGTTGCATAGACATACATGCAAGCAAAACACCCAGACACATAAATAAAATATAAAAACAAACGGGCAAAACCCTGGACCTGATGATGCACACCTGTAACTCAGAGTTAGAGGTGGGGCAGAGACAGGCCGATCCCTGGCCAGCCAGGAAATGGTGAGCTCCAGGTCCAGTCAGAGATCCCGTCTCCAAAAACCAAGGTTTAGAAAGCAATTGAGGAAGACACCCAAGGTTGACCTGTGGCCTCCACGGGAAGACAGTTGGAGCCAGGTGTGTCCTTCATCCCTGTCATCAGCACTTGAGAGCCTGGGGCAAGAGGATCACAAGTCTGAGCTACCAAGAGAGTCTTAGAACAAGAAGCTGAAAAGGGACAGGGGTGGCGGAAATGGGTAGCACAGAGCTTGCCCGACATACATGGGGCCTGTGGTTTGATCCCTGCACCCTCCCCACCAAAAACAATCTATAGCCCTGGTGACCTTGGGCAGGTGTCCCTCTAGGCTAATCTGGGGGTAGACTTAATGGGTCAGAGGTCAGACACATTTGGAATTTGGATAGAATCCTCTAGGGTATCCTGGGGGTGGGGTCCAAGCTTGTGTACAGTACAGGGTGTGTGTTGGCAGTTTGGAGGGGTGGTCCCCTGGGAATGAAGAACCATCCTACAGAAAATTGGTTTTTGTGTTACTGCCCAGTGCCAACCCTCCCCAGTCCCTTGTGCAGAAAGAGTGCTGGGCCACCCTCCCTGGCCTGTTCCTCCTCTGACTCCCCTGGGAGTGGGTCCCTGTGCCTGACCTAGGTTGACAATTGCCCTCTGCCCTGTCCCCAGGGCAGCGGTTGTTTGGTGAGAGCATCCTGGGGCTGACACAGGGCTCGGTGTCAGATCTGCTGTCAAGGCCCAAACCCTGGCACAAGCTAAGCTTGAAGGGCCGGGAGCCCTTCGTGCGCATGCAGCTGTGGCTGAGTGACCCCCACAATGTGGAAAAGCTGCGGGACATGAAGAAGCTGGAGAAGAAAGGTGAGACCAGGTCGGGGTGGTTGGATAGCCACCCTGCCATAGGTGGCAGGTCCCTGCCATAACCGAAGACCCCCAGCTGGCAGCAATCCCCCACCAAAATCACATGTGGCATCTCTCAGGCTGTCGACATCTCTGTGACATCCAGAGATGGCACATGGTCTTGCCAACGTCAGCAGCACACTGTTCCCAGCTCCCTGTCAGGCCTCTCTCTCCTCTGGATGAGCTCGATCCTCTGCCCCTTACCAAGCCTGTGGGGCAGAGAGCAGGCCCAGTAGTTCCTTCAAGGGCATGCTGGGAAAGTGTCACCATTGATAGTGCTTACCTAGCATCCCTGAAGCTCTGGATTCATTCGCCAACACTGCCTGAACCAGGCATGGTACCACACATCTATCATTTCCACACCGTCCAGGAGGTGGAGGTGGGCAGATCAGAAGTGTAGTGTCATCCTGGGCTACATAGTGAGTTCAAGGCCAGCCTGGATTGTGTGAGACCTTGTCTCAAATCAAATTAAGATACACCTCCAAGGACCTAAAGACTCCCACTAGACCCCACTGCTTAAAGTTCCCAATTCCTCCTCCCAGTATCACTCAGGTGGGCCTAAGCCTCTTAGAGCGAGTCTTTCTCTGTACGGCCAGCCAGCTCCCAGATAACCACACAGAGACTTAGTATTAATTATGAAAGCTCAGCCAATAGCTTGGGCTTGTTTCTAACTAGCTCTTGTAACTTAGTTTACTTTCTGCCACATGGCTTTATTACCTCATCTTCCTATTACCCATCCTGTTTGCTCTATGTCTGGCTGGCAAACCTGCCTTCTTCTTCCCAGCATTCTCTCTGCCTTGAAAACCCTACCTAGCTGTTGACTGTTGAGCTTTTTACTAAACCAATCAAAGTGATGTAAAGGAACATCCCACAGCCACTTCTGGAGAACCTTCTAGATCTAAATGGCAGCAGAGCTTTTGCTGATGTTTTGTTGTGAGGTCACCATGCCTCCTACCAAGAGGGCTTATTCAAAGTGGCCCCTCACACAGCAAACTCTTGTGAAACTTAGTGGCACTTCTAACAGCCTTGCCGGCCACAGAGCTCCCTGGTTTGAGCGCCCTCTGACTGCAAGCACCCCTCATGGCCTCTGGAGTGGCTGTGTTACCGAATACCCCCTAACCTCGGCCAGCCTCACAAGCAATAGCACAGGAGACAGGCGAGCATCTCGGCAGAGCCAAGGGAGCAGAACAGGACAGGAGTGGGGACACGGAGGGCTCTGCTGGACTGGCTGGCCACTGCCCCTGTAGATCTACCATCCCTGCCGAGTGGCAATGGCCCCTCACCCCGCCCCTCTCTCTGCAGCCTATCTGAAGCGCCGCTATGGACTCGTCAGCACAGGCTCGGACAGCGAGTCACCAGCTGCACATTCCGAGTGCCCCAGCCCCTGTCAGCAGCCACAGGAGCTGAGCCTCACGCAGGCCAAGAAGCCGCGCGTGGTGCTGGCACCCGCTGAGAAGGAGGCGCTGCGGAAGGCCTACCAGCTGGAGCCCTATCCCTCGCAGCAGACCATAGAGCTGCTGTCATTTCAGCTCAACCTCAAGACCAACACCGTCATCAACTGGTTCCACAACTACAGGTAGCCTGGAGCCCCAGGTCACGGATTGGCAGAGAGAGGGCCGTGGGGACACAGACACAGAGGGACCCAGTAGGTCATGGTAACACAGAGGGTCACAGGACACAGACAGACATAAGGAAGGCCAGGAGGTTCATGGGAACACCTGAGGGTTGTCCGGGCCTGGGGGCTGCAGCTGGATCGCAAAGCTGTTTCTAGATTCCCAGATGCACTAACTCTGTCACCTCTAGCTGAGGGACCCTGAGCCCTTCCCTGAGTCCCGTGTTGTAAGCTATAAACAAGACCACAGTGTATTCCCCTTGCCAGAACTGACAGTGTGACCCTAACATCACGCCCGCTCTGTGCTGTGGTCTAGGAAGGAATAGATCAGGAGTAGACCTGAGGCATCTCCGGCTGAAGCTAACTAGGATCTCGTGGTCTCTCTTACTCGTGAGGCCAAAGGAACACCTGCCCCGCTGCAGCCTCAGGTGTGGTGACTGCTCCAAGCATGGCCCCTCTCCATCCTCCAGTCTGGGTCTCAGAGGTCCCAAGTGCTGTGGCTTTGACCAGGCCACATGGTTTCCCGAGGCTGGCCTAGGACCCCCTGAAGGAGGCTTGGTGGAGACTGTAAGGATCATGTCTGAGATCCTACCCACTTTCTGAGCAAGAAGAGTCGCCAGGGTCCATGTGGCACTGTGGAAGGGTCTATTCATCCGTTCTGGGGCAGAGAGCTGTCCCAAGATCCCCAAGAAGGAAAAAGGTTAACAGGGGCGAGATACATATTCACCTCTTCCCAGCCTGCACCTTGGCATCACACACACCTTAGCTGTGTGGCCTTCAGCAGGTCACCGACCTCTCAGAGTCTCCTGACGATTCTACAAGATGAGACATGTCACTCTTGCCCCGCCCCCAGTGCCAAATCAGGGACTGTGGGAGTGAGCAGCCTACAGTAGAGCTTCTACCCAGTGCAGATCTGGCTGATGGCACAGCAGGAGACATGGGTCCCAACAGCTTTCTCTCCTCCTCTCCAGAGTGGCAATGGAGACACGTCTCAGCTTCTCATTTCTCATAGGAACTGAGCATTCTAACATCATCCATCACATTCTTTAAAAACATATCCACAGTGAGCTGGGCTCCAGAGATCAGGGGGTCAAAGCCGCCCTCCCTGAGCCTGATTGGCATATGTATGTCATGGGCCAAGTCATTTCACTTCAGCCTGATTAATATGGCAAAGAGAAGGAGAGAAGGAGCAGGTGCTTAGGGAAGAGGGCTTCTTAAAACTCCAGAAAACTTGAATGAAGAGGTCATGATGATCTGAGGTGGGTTTTGAAGAACAAATAAGAGCAATCTCAGCCGGGTGGTGCTGGTGAACACCTTCAGTCTTAGCACTCGGGAGGCATAGGCAGGCAGATCTCTGTGAGTTTGAGGCCAACCTGATCTATAAGAGCTAGACAGGACAGGCTCCAAAGCTACAAAGAAACCCTGTCTCAAAAAACAAACAAAAAAAGAGTGATCTCTGTGAGTTTAAGGCCAGCCTGGTCTACATAGTGGATTTCAAGCCAGCCACGGCTGCATAATGAGGCCCTGTCTCCATAAAAGGAAAAAAAGAAAAGAAGAAAATCACGCTTTCCATAAGTAGGGCCCTGGGTTCCAAACGCACCACGAGAAAGAAGGGGCCGGGCAATGTAGACAAGAGAGCTTGCCTGCACGATCATGAAGACCTGATTGTGATCCGCAACTCTCACTTTTTTTAGAGCCATGCATTGGGTCAGCCAGCTGGGCTCAGAGGGCACCCACGCCTCCTGATGATTTTGACAACCTGAGCTTGATCCCCAGGACCCACAAGGCTAAAGGAGAGTGCCAAGTCCCCCGAGGTGTTCTCTGACTTCTCACACACCCGTGCACTCTGGAGTGTATGCACACACACTGGATAAATATATGTAGTTTAAAATTTTAAAAAGAAAAGACACATAACACCTGTGATCCCAAAGCTAGGGAGGCAGAGACAGGAAGCTCCTGGGCTCACCAGGCGATCAGTCCAGCCAGTGTGAGTACCAAGTTCACCGAGAGAATGACTGTCTTAGAAGCTAAGGTGAAGAGTGATTGAGAAAGACACCAGACTGACCTCTGACCTCCATGGCTCCCCAAGACATTGAAGATAAAATAAGATGTATGAGTATGATGAACTTACTTCCCTATTCTTACTTTCTTATTGCTGTGATAGAACACTGACTGAAAACATCTTGGGGAGGAAAGGGTCATTTGGTTGACACCTCAGTTCATGGTCCATCATTGAGGGAGGTCAAGGCAGGAACTGAAGCAGAACCCATGGGAGGAGCTGCGTATTGGTCTGCTGACATGGCTGCTCCCTAGCTCGTGCTTAGCTAGGTTTTTTTTTTTTTCATACAGTGCAGAGCCTAGGGATGCTGCCCATGGTGAACGGGGCCCTCCTACATCAGTTAACAGTCAGGACAGTCTCTCACGAACACGGCATGGGACAGTCTATCAAGGCGGTCCTTCAGATGAGGTCGCCTCTTCCCAGGTTAAATCTAGGTTGTGTCAATTTGACAATAAAAGCTAACCACACATCAGCCACTGTTGGCTTCTGGCCTCCGTGCACACTCACGTACACACAGAAGTCTCAGTTACAGCGGCAGAGAGAAACATTAATTACATGGTGTTTGCTCAGCACCTTCTCTGTCCCAGGTGCTAAAGGGAGGGAGGCAGGCACTGCCCATCAGCTGCTGAGTTACAGTGTGGCAGTCTACACTACTGTAGTGAGCTGTGGGAAGGAGGAACAGTGGCCGCTGCTAAAGAACAGGGCTGGAAGGCACAGCTGTAGACGTGGGTGTTGCCCAGGGTGGTCGCTGCTCTTGCGGGCTGAGTCTGGGGTCAGCAGCCCCTGTCGAGCTCCAGACCCTCACCCTTGTCTCTACCACAGGTCCAGGATGCGCCGTGAGATGCTGGTGGAAGGAGCACAGGATGACCCAGACTTGGACCCAAGTGGGGGTCCCAGTGTCCTGCCACCAGGCCACACCCACATAGACCCCACCCCGCAGAGCCCTGACTCAGAGGCTGAGGACCAAAAGCCCCCAAAGAAGAGCCTGGAGCTGCAGGAATCTGGGAGCCCTGCACCCCTAGCAGCCCCAGACAGGGCTCTGGTGAGGATTAAGCAGGAGGAGGACATAGAGATGGACGAGGACAGCCAGCCCCTGGATGTAGGGGATCCAGACAGAGGACAAGGCAGCCCCAAAGAGGAGACTACCCATCCTCTGGGGAATAACAAACTCCCAGAGCTGGTCCCTGAGCCCTTCCCTTCAGACACGCCCAACCCAGACTGCCCCCCATTGCACATCTCTCAAGAAAAGGAGGTTGGAGAGCAGGTTCACTCAGACCCCCTGAGTTTCAAGTCCACTTCAGAATCCTCATGCTGCAGCCTGGAGGGGCCACCGAACTCCCCGTCTGCCATCTCTTCACCAGACCTCATGACATGTGTGTCACCCGTTCCCTCATCCTCAGCCCCCATCTCCCCATCCCTACCTGGTGCCCCACCTGCCAAAGTGCCGAGTGCCAGCCCCACTGCTGATACAGCTGCGGCTTTGCACCCCAGCACCAAGGTGAATCCCAACTTGCAGCGGCGACATGAGAAAATGGCCAACTTGAACAGTATTATCTACCGACTGGAGAGGGCTGCCAACCGGGAAGAGGCTTTGGAGTGGGAATTCTGAACCGGGGGTGAGAGACACACCCCAGTGGTCACCTTTCCTCCTCCTTTCTCTCTCCCAGATGGGGTGGGGCCAGAGAGGCAAGAACTCAGCCATGCAAATGTGGACAGCAATGTTACGTTTATTGTTGTAACACTAGTTACCTGAAGTTGTGTGTGAGCAGATGCCGCCAGCCCTGCTTGTAGGAAGCACTGGGATCCTGCCTTTGTCCCCTCCCCCACGGGAGGCAGGACCAAAACGACACCACATTCTCACCCAGAAACTCCAAACTCTTTTAGAAAAATAAAGAAATATTTATAGACCTCTTTCAGCTATTTTAATAAAGGATCCTTGGAATTTATTCCCAGCTGATGCTGTTTTGATATTAAAGAGTTATAAAATCAGATGCTGTCACGGCTGCTGTGGAGCAGACACAGAAGCTGTGTCATTTTTTTGCCATGAGATGAGATTAAAAGACAACTGTTCAAAGCCATCACGAAGCATTCTAAGACGGACCAAATTCAGAGAACACTTGGACTGCGGTTTGGTATTTTTTCCCTCATGCCTGTCTGTGAGACACAGCACGATGCTGCTGCCCTTCCAGAATCTGCGTTTTGCAAAGAAAAAGTCCAAAAGACTCTAAATGAAATCTCCATGCTGCAGAGGGTGGGACCGTGCTGGTGGCCTGTCTGCAGCCTCCATGTCACAGCAGTCCTGTCGCTGGTGGGAAATGTTGCCCTTAGCGAAAGTGGTGTGTTTCATAAAGGCCTCCACTCCCCGAGTTAGAAACCTTCTGTGTTATAAACAAAGTGTTTCCAGAACCTTTGGAAGCCAGGTGTGGGGGAGTTACTCAAAGAGAGTTGTTTATGTCAGAGTGACCCTAACTCCCATCCTGAATGGTGCCCGTACTTGGAAGGTTTCTCCTACGGTCTGAGCCAGGCCCTTTTTCCTAGAAAAGGAAAGTGTTGATTCACCATAGCCCCCAAAGCTTAGCAACCAGCTCCAAAAACTAGATCCATTCAGCCGGAAACCTCAACTCAGTTTCTCACCATCTTCGCAAGTTGACAACGGTGCATCCCTGGAATGTGTCCATGAGTCTGTGAAACTTGGAAAGGCCAAAGTCACCACAGCATGGCCACCACATCCCCACACAAGACCTGCCTGGGGTCAAAGATGTGACTCCCCTGACTCAGAAGCAGCCTTCCCCCAACATCCTGACTGGCTGCCAGGGAGAAAGGATGCTGGATGCCGTGGCCTCCATATCATAGCAGTGGTTGGATCTGCTGCTTTTATTCCTTTTCTCTCGCAGCCGTGGAAGCCGCACGGGTGAAGATGACAAACGTGGGGTCATCTCTGTTGCCGTTCAGTGCTCGAGGGGCAAACCGCTCTTCGGCGCAGTGACTCTCGTGAAATCATGTGAACCAAAAAGTTGGCAACCAGAAAGGGGGAAGAAAAAAGAATGTTCCGGAATTTCTAATTCTCGTGCGCCCAGCCAGGCTGCAGACAGGCCCTGGAAAACCTCTTTTCCACACACAACCCTGGCTATGCACCGAGAAGCTTTCCACTGTATACTTTTTATCCAGAGGAGGGTATTTTTATATTCTGACACTAGGAAACCATGGCCAGTTTTCAGAGGAATCCATTCTGGACAAACAAAGCCTGTCTTGGCCTCTGCCACCGCCATTGCCACACACACCCACAGGGAGACCTTGCCACTTTTCCTCTGGAAACTACATGTTGAGGTGATCCACGCCACACCTCGATGCTACTCAGCAGAATTCACCGTGACTTTACTGTGACGGGATTCGGTGTGACCTTTGAACACAGAAGCCTGGTTGTGCAGAAGCCCACGGGCCTGCAAACAGATCTGTCCGGTTCACATCCTACAACGGTTTGAATCAAAAAAACACACACACATGAACTGTTTCTATGAGAGATTGATGAACTTTGTCTAAAATTTTACATAAAGGGACACCTTCTGTAAACACGTCCCTAAATACAGAATTGTATAATAATCCCAGGTGTCCCCATCTGTTCTGGAGTTGGGGTGCAAGGTGGGTGCAGAGTTGGTCCTCAGAGGTATCGTACAAAATGATACGATAATTTTTAAATTTTTGTTTTGCGGGGTTTTGGTAGTGGTATGTTTGTTTTTTAAGACAAGGTCTCACTGTGTAGCCCAGGCTGGCCTAGAACTCATACAGATCTGCCTGCCTCTGCCTCTGCCTCCTGAGTGTTAGGATTAATTTCTTTATTATTATTAGGGTTTGTGTGGTGTGTATACCTGTGTGGCAATGAGAGAGCAGCTTGCCAGGGTTGATTCTGTGGGTTTCAGGGAGTTGAATTTGGGCCGTGAGGCTTGCATGATAAGTGTTTTTACCTGCTGAGCTACCTCACCAGCTCAAAATCATGTATTTAAAACTTAGGTTTTTTTGATTGCTTATTTGTTTATATATCTGTCAAGACAGGGTCTCACTGTATAGCCCTGGCTTACTTGGAACTTGCTATGTAAACCAGGCTGGCCTGGAACTCAAGAGATCTACATGCCTCTGCTTCCTGAGCGCTGGGATTAAAGGCGTGGGCCACCACCATTGGCTCCATGATTTGGTTTTGAGAAAGTCTCATGTGATCCAGGCCCTCAGACTCACTTTGTAGTGCTGGGATTATAGATATCCACCACCTCGCCCAACGAATACTGTTTCTCAGTTGAGTCCCAGCAGTCAAATATGGGGGTGTGTCTCTTAAGCACTGCAGATACCAACTTCTGAAAACTCTAAACTCTGCCTGTACTGGGCCACCATCTGTTGTGACCACAGTCAGCTGAGGAGTGGCCTCTCTTGCCAGTGGCCTGAGTGAGTACGGTAGCATCCGGTTGGTGACTGAGTGCAGGATCCCAGATGCTCTGAAGACAGCCTGGGACTGGAAGGCCAGTGGCCTAAAGGCTGGGTGGTTGGACTCTGGAGCCTGGGACTAGGGGTCAAGATTGAGCTTTGCTTTTTTATACTTGTGACCACAAACCACAACCATCAACCAGTCTATAAATGGAGTGGGGAATCGGTCTGTGCCAAAAGGGCCTTCCCCAGACTGGCACAGTGCTGCCCACTCCCAGATATATAATGCAGGCCTCAGTTTCCACATCTGTAAAATAGGGTGTTGCAGCAGTGACTCACAGTGCATTCTGGGGTGGCGTCTTGGAATTGTGTAGAGCATGGGTACACCTGTCCAGAGCCTGAACCAGGAACTTGACAACCATGTGACTGTCATCTGAAGCGGGAGGTGGAGGTGGGGGATGCCTCGTGCCTCAACCATCACTCACCCATGAACCAGAGCCACATGCAGTGGCTCAGATGGCTCATCGGTAAACCTTTCTACAACCCCTGATTTCCATATAGCCCCTTGTGGGAGGACTGGCTGACTCATTATCCCCACCATGGCTAGGAGAACTTGCCTGAATCCCAAAGGCCAGCTCCCAGGCAGAACAGGTTGGGGGTGGGGAAGCAATAACCAGAGCTGCCCCACAAAGGGTGACCTTGCAGGTTGGCCCAGGCCTCTCTGAGTCAGGGAGCTAGACTGCCTAGTTTCCATACCAACCCCACTTCTGAGAACTTGGTGTACATGAGGGAATGCCAGAAGCTCCCTAAGCTGCTTCCCCAGCTGTAAAATGGAGGTGGCTATACATTTCCTTACTGGGGACTGACCATTCTGGTCCCAGGTCCCACTCTTAGGAAGGCTGGGAGACTGATAGGACAAGGTGATGAACCCTTGTTATCCTGGCTACTCAAGAAGCAGAAGCGGGGAGATTACTGAGTGTAGCCGTTCGAGAACAACCTTGACAACAAAGCAACACTTTCTTGAAAATTCAAAACAAAACAAAAACCTAGTCAGAAATCCACGTTCTGAGCCAGGTGGTGGTGGTGCACACCTTTAATCCCAGCACTCAAGAGGCAGAGGCAGGCGGATGGATCTATGTGAGTTCGAAGCCAGCCTGGTCTACAGAGTGAGTGCCAGAACGGACTCCAAAGCTACACAGAGAAAAAAAAATCCACATTCTGGGGCTCCTGCAAGAAACCCAGGATGTCATTTGAGACCCTAAACAAGCCAGTACCCTGTCAGCTCTGGGAACTGAGGTTCCTACATGGATCACCAGCTTTGGTGTTGCCATCCTGTCAGCTGTCCCTTGCCCTGAAGTAGAAACTTGAAGGAAAACACCAAACTATAGAATTCTGAGCTGGAGGAGGGAGGGCAGAGGGATTGAGATGGACTGAGAAAATCTGGAGGCCTTCCTGAAGGAAGAAGGTTTGGATGGGTGCCAAAGAGTGCAGTAAGCAGAATAGGGGGTGTTCACCTAGCTAGTATTTATTTAGTGACTACTGCATGCTCCATGCCTTGGTAGAGGAACCAGGAGGGAAGGGCATAAGGTGTGGGGTCCAGGAATCCTGCATGGAGAAGAGGACACCGTGACAGATGAACTGTGACAGAGATGGCCAGGGTCCAGAGGGAAGTGGCTGTAGAGGGTGTGGTGGGGCTAAGAACCCACCAGAAAGAGGCCAGAGGAGCCTATAATGTGGTGAAGGGGAGCATGGGAGGGAGACAGAGACCTGATTGAGAAGCTCCATGGGGCATGATGGGAAGCATGCTTCTCTTGAGGGTACTGGGGAGCCACAGCAGGCATGAGGCAGGGGGTGTTGCATTTGGATTTGCACTTTTAGGTAGGTGGTCCACCTGCCTGCCCTGACTCACCCCTCCCCCTTCTCCTCGTTTAGTAGGGACCATTCAGTAAGGGACCCAAATGAATGGTTGTCTCACATCCCCTATCCCCACCCTGGCTGAATCCATCTTTTGTTTGTTTGTTTTGGGACAGGGTTTCTCTGTGTAGCCCTGGCTGTCCTGGAACTCACTCTGTAGACCAGGCTGATCTCAAACTCACAAAGATCCACCTGCCTCTACGTCCCGAGTGCTGGAGTCAAAGGTGTGCACCACCTTCCAGCTGGGTCTTTCTTCAGCTCATCTCTCTACAGCCTTGGTAGTCTTAGTTGCTATAGAAACCAGGCTTTCACAGCTCCCAGATGCTGAAACCACCCCAAGACCCAAGAGCCGCCGGACTGGGCAGAAGTGATCTTGTCCAAGCTGACCCACTGGGGAGCCAGCCTGTGCACCCACACGCCAGCCTTACAGCCAGTAAGGATTCCATTTCCTCATCTGTGAAAGGCCTGTGGCTGGCTACAGGTGCTGCAAGAAGCTGCTCACCCTCACTGGTGCCCAGTCCTGAAAGCCACCCGCTGCCTCAGCCCCACTGTTACAGACAGTTGTGAGCTGTCATGTGTGTGCTGGGAATTGAACTCTGCACCTCTGGAAGAGCAGTCAGTGCTCTTAACCGCTTTAGCTCTCTCCAGCTCCCCATGGTTCTGTCTTGCTTTATCTGAGGAACTATCCATGTACTGGGGTCCGTCCCTCCACATTCCCATTATCAACCTTGGTCACTTTCTTCATAGCAGCTCTCTGGTGGACACTGGGTGACCCCACTCATATCTCATTGGCCAGAACTGAGTCAAGGGGCCATTCTTTGGCAGTCGGCTGGCCCAGGTGTATTAATCACTTGGGGTGGGTGGATGCTGCACAATCGTAACCTCTAGCCAGGGTGGTCCTCCATCTCTAGTAGCTCCTTAGAATATTCCTGATCACACAGGGCCTCTCGATCTGTGCCCTGCACGTCACCCTAACACCAGCAGGACAGATGGGCATGTCAGCATAGATTAACTGCTCCCAAGGCCACCTGCCACTCCAAGGGCATACCTGTGACCCCACCTCTTGAGGCAGCCTCCCTCCCTTGCACATGGTCCCCTGACCTTGATGCTCTTTTAGGGGGAGAGGGGTTTCAAGACAGGGTTTCTCTGTGTAGCCCTGGCTGTCCTGGAACTAGCTTTATACTCAAACTCAGAGATCCACCTGCCTCTGCCTCTCAAGTGCCAGGATTAAAGGTGTGGCCACCACCACCTGGTGACCTTGATGCTCTATTTTGTGAACTTAGACATGAGTTATTTGGGTTGCTCAGTTCACGCTGAAGCCAAATGTTCCTGTGCTTAATTTTTCTAGGCTGCTGAGGGAGAGCTGGAGCACATCCCGAGTCTACATCTGTTTAAGACCCTGGGCCTTAACCACCATGTTGGGCCACCCTGGGCCTGCCTCTTCTCCTTTGTAAAGCCACCATGAGCTCAGTGAGGAAGTGGAGACCCAACACTAACAGCAGGCATTACTGTCTTAGGGGCAGGTACACATAACATTGTGGACAGTGTTACAGTCAAAAACCATCTTCCAGGGCTGGCTCAGTGGTTAAGAGCACTGGCTTCTCTTCCAGAGGACCCGAGTTCAATTACCAGCACCCACATGGTAGTTCACAACTGTCTGTAACTGTAGTTCCAGGGGATCTGACACTTTCACCTCAATGCATATAAATAAAATGAAATATATATATATATATATAAAATCTTCCACTGGATAGTTGTGGCACACATCTTTAATCCCAGCACTCAGGAGGCAGAGGCAGGTGGATTTCTGAGTTCAAGGCCAGCTTGGTCTACAGAGCAAGTTCCAAGACAGCCAGGGCTACAAAGAGAAACTGTGTTTCAAAAAAAAAAAAAAACCCAAAAGAAAAAACACAGCAGACATTACTAATCAACTACAGACTCTTTCAATTTTCATAGTGTCAGGATCTTCTGTCTTCCACCTCTGAGCTACCAGGAACAGGCCAGTAAGAAGGGCCAGGGTCTGTTAAGACAGGGTCTGTAGCCCAGGTTGGCCTGCAGCTAGCTTCCTGCCTTGCCCTTGAATGCTGGGACAGGTGTGCACTATCATCAGGCTTGGACCCTCCCCTCTCCTAACCACCAGGTAGTTTGGGCCCGCACACGTCAATCATCTGCCCATCTTTTTGTATGGCCTGTGGCCCCCCATGTACCTCCTGAAGGCACCACCAGCCACAAGGTCAGAGGCTGATGTTTCAGTTGACACTCGAGCTGTGTGGCCTTAGCAGCCTCTCTGCCCTCCATTTACCCCAGCACAAGATGAGGACATTGTCTTCCCTGGGAGAAGATGGGACAGCCTGGCTGAAGGACACACATCATGTCCCTTCTAGGGCCCACAAGGCATATCAACTGTGGATTATGTGGGGAGGAAAATAATACAAACAGCCATTCCTTGACCAGCTTTTATTTTGGACCTCGTACCCTGTCCATGGCAGACATCTCTTAGCCCTAGAGTCAGCTGGACCACCTTTGTGCTTTGGGAAAAAAGGGCATCTCCCCCTCCCCTACCTCCTGCCCTGTACCTTTAGAGTTTGTAAACCCATCCCAGACTAGAGTCTATGCCTTAGCCCGCCAGCTGGGTCACACCAGAGAGTCCTGAGCCCCATCCAGTGGGAGAGTTAAAAAGAAAGGGACCAAGTCCCCAGAGGCACCTGTGCAGACAGCAGAGCTCAGGGGACAGAGAGGTAAAGGCCAAGTCAGCTGGGCGTCAGCGTGTCTCCTGGTAGGGCTGGACTCCCTGGGGACAATGCCACCCCTTCCCTCCAGTCAACAGTAACGTGGGGGGGGGGGGTGCGGATACTAAACTTCACTGCTGGAAGAAAGACAAATGCAGTACCTTATATACTTTAAAGTAAAACCCACAGCCAAGCCCTGGCGCCTGAGCCAGCAGGCAGCCAAGAGGCTCTGGTGGCAGAATCACCTACAGAACCCCAACCCAGGGCCTCCCAGGACAGAGGAGTGGGGCCAGGGTGAAATCTGTCCATCTGACGCAGAGACTGGAGTGAGTGTCCTCCAGTCCCCTGGGCAGGGCACTGAGGAGGACTGTAAACAAGACCCAGGTGGGGCAGGTTGTCCCGCCCAACCCTCTGGAAGAGAGCCAGCACTGAGAAGGGACCTAGCAGGGAGGCCACTGGTTGTCTGGGTGGCAGGGAGCAGCACCTGGGCTCTCCCCCAGCAGGCGTGGAATCAGTCAGAGGTGAACCTGGGAGGAAGCTCGGCCACAGCCCAGGACTGGAGGTTAGTTGGCTCTAAGAGGCCTTGCCTGCCAAGGCCGGGCAAAGTCCTGCCTCGGCTGGTTCCAGGCCAGGGCCTTGGGGATTTATCCCGTTTAACTCCACTTTCTACCTGCTGCTTCAGACCCACATGAGCAGCCCAGGCAGCAGCCACTGGACCTGTGGTCTACTCCAGGGCTGTCCTGGGGCCGGGTTCTCTAGCAACCAATTCCTTGCGTTCTTGTAGAATGTTCAGGTCCCAGGTTCTTCTTGGCAGTAACTGCCACAGAGCCCAGAGGTCAGGGCTTCTGGGTTACATGTCCGATGTCCCCTGGAAGCCTGGCTTGAGCCCAAGTGATACTGTACTCAGGCCTCCCTCACAGCCAGTAGGCCCCTTAAGGCTGGTCCCGGGTATGAGTCCCACCAGAACCAGAAGGATGCCAGGAGACCTCCAGGCCAGCTAGGCCAGTGTGGCCTCCACGCCACTGGCTCCTGAGGGCCCTCACCTCCAGTCCATATTGCTCATGCAGCTGGGCAAATGATGCCAAGGGCCCATTAGAAGCAGAGGCCCTGCGACGGGGCGGTAGTGGTGGGCGCTGGGGAGCTACAGTGGGTTGCTCAGGCAGTGCACTCCACACTGCCCGGCCATTCTCCTTGGGTCGTGGGTTCGAGACCGGGCTTGGGTTGGCCGGCAAGGCATTGGCAGGGCTTCCCTCCCGCATGGCTGCCAGCTGCTGCTCCAACTCACGCACCACCAAGCGCAGGTAGTGGAAGCTGGCTCGTGACAGCGCCTTCACCCAGCCCTCCAGGGCTGCCTGGCTATCAGCTGCCAGCACATAGGGCCGAGAGCGACCGCCAGCAAAGTGCACGGCGAAGGCAAACTCCTCCCGGACATCCACCAGCTCCACCGTGCACCCCTCCAGCAGGATGACGCCCAGTGGCTCGCGGCTGGCCTCTGCCTCAAAGTAGAAGAGCATGTTGCCACGAAGCACGAACCAGCGCCGGTGCGAGCTCGCCCCACGTCCACCACGCTTGTGGAGGAAACCAGCATTGTCCACTGGCGCATCGCAGGTTGCGTAGAAGGCCAGGCTGCGCTCGTTCAGCTTCATGGCCGCAAGGCCTGCGCTTGTCCCCTGCGCCAGAGCTGATGTTACTCCTAAGATCACCAACTCCCGGGCCACCGGCAGTCACCTTCCACCACACCCACACCAGCCTCCCAATGAGCACAGGGAGACAAGACTCGAACCCAAGTTCACGTGGCCACTCGGAGTCCTCCTGCTGCCCTTAATTTAGGAAAGAACATTAAGCATTCTGAGCTCTCGACACCATGCAAGTTAGCTCCAGCAGGCAGTGATCTGGGTGGCCCAGGCTAGTGTTATGGTTGCATCCACATGTCAGTTGGCGAAACAGGCACACTGAGGAAACAACCACAAAGCCAAGGTCACAAAACAAGTTGGCTAGAGCCTTTGTTGGCCCCAGGAGGTCCCTGAAGGTCCCAGCTCTGTGACTCAGCCTGGTGAGAGGGTGAGCCATAGAGCATGGCAGGTAGGGGAACAGTGAACACAAAGGCCTTGTGCTGAAACCCTACTGCTCTGAAGAAAGGGGACCAGAGGGGGTGGGAGGTGGAGGAAAACTCACCCAGAGTGCTGAAGCAGCTATGACCAAATAGTCTAGGTAAAATAGGAGCCCAGCCCAGACTGACAGGGAGGGGCAGGACACTCTAACATAGGCCTCCCAAAAAGTACACACTGGGGCAGCAGTGGGCAGTAGGACCTAGCGGGAGGTGGCACACAGGTGCCCAGTGTGGCGTCTTGCCCCTGTCCCAGCCATACTTTTCAAGAGTATGTAAAGAGCCTGGAATGAGTAAACACTCAGCCAATGTCCACCCCTTCTGCCTGGGTGGCAGGCACTACCCCAAGTCAGGAGGCATGAGGTCTGGGTGGTGGCTCTGTGGGGCCAGGCTGTGCCACCTGATAGGTGAAAGGAGAAACAGCTGCCAAACAAATACTTATTTTCCTGCCCCCTCCTGCCACCCACACTGCAGTCAGGGACAGCTTCCTGCCGAGCTAGAAGCTGAGACCTGCTTATCCCCATAGAGCAATGGGGCTGGAACCTCAGCCCCTGAAGGCTCTGGTGTGTTTAATCCTCACTCTGCCTCCTTCTGCTGTGTGGCTTCTTATATCCGCTGTCCCTCTCTAAGCCTGTTTCTGCGTAAGTGACTCATGTATCCCTCCCAAAACATCCGTCATGCCCACCCAACCCTACTCACTCAGTCACAAGTCAGCTCAGTCTCCAGGCTGGGTCACCTCGGTGCACACAGTCAGCCTCTCTCGATCTCTAGTTCTTCATCTATAGAATGAGAGCAAAAGTGTCTAAGTCAAGTTTATGACAATGAGATTGGGATCCGGGGAACCAGGCCCTCTGCCATGGCAGCTGTTAACAGTGTACTTTGCCTCCCTCTAGTCTGTCCTGTCTCAGTGAATGGCCCCTGGTGTACCCCTCACCTCCACATCTAATCACTGAGGCCAGGTGATCCTCCCATGCCCGCCTCAGTCTTCCAAAGCAATGGTTGTCTAGGTCCCCATCTCTGTTTGCTGGAGCCACTGCAGTAGTCGCCTGCCTCCACCTTTGCCCCTTCCTATCTTGCCACCTCAAGGTAAGATCACCTCCCTAGGGCCCTCTCTTAGACCCACAAAGGGGCCCTTATCTCCCATAACCTCTACCCACTTCTCAGCTCTCCCCCATCTCAGCTCCTTTCCCAATCTCTTCTTGCCTTTGTCCCCAGACCTCGGCCACTCTGACTGCCTTTCTGTCCCCCAAATGCACCAGATTCCTACATCAGGACCTTTGCCCTGATTGTTACTCTCTGCCTGGGGTGCCGTTCCCTACTACATGGCGGGTTTCACCACTGCCTGGGAGAGGCATCCTCAGACCACAAGAGGCCACCAGGCACTCTACTACACCCCAGCTGAAGATTACCTGGCTCATTCATGCCTGGTCCAGGAAGAGAGGGTTTTTCTATCTGGATGTGAGAGCCCAGTGTGTAGCAGGTACTCCTGGGAGCCTACAAGGCAAAGCAAACCTTTGTCAAATGAGGGCGCTGTGACAAGGAGTGGTCCCCATTCCACATTCATGGATGGGAAAATTGACCTGCCCCAAGAACAGGGCTCAGAGCAAACAGCCCAAGTGGGGCACTAAACTTGGGGTCATTCTACCCCACTAAGACTGACAATAACTTGCCCAGTGCCCATCACCTACCAACCCTGACTGCTCAGATGAGGCCACCCTAGCCCTAGCAGACAGAAAGCCCAGTTAAGTCCCTGACCCTTGCCTGCTCCAGCTGAGCAAAGAAAAAGAGGCTGAGACACAAGTTTTAGTTTCCCCTGGAGGGAGCAACTGCTCCCCATTTTCTAACCACCCTGCTCTCCCTCAAGTTCAGTCTGCTGAGGGCACCACACTACTGAATCAACAGGGCCTAGCTAGGCATGATGCTCTAGTAACCAAATTCCTGTCCAAGTTGGTCTAGGGTGGAAGACTAGTCACAGCCACTTCCCAGACCTCAGTTTCTTCAATGGGCTTCAAGGAGGCTCAGAAGACAAAAAGAAGGAAACCCTGTGACAAACTACAGGGGAAACATTCTAAAGCAGGCAAAGCACCCACTGTGGTAGCTCACACCTGTCATTCCAGCACACGGAAGGTAGACAGACGCCAGCCTGAGCTACAGAGCAAGACCCTGTTTAAAACCAAAATAAAAACACACATGTCGGGTATGATGGTGTACACCTTTGATCCCAGCACTCGGGAGGCAGAGGAGGCAGATCTCTGAGTTAGAGGCTAGCTTGGTCTACATATAGAGTTCCTGGGCAGCCACAGCTACACAGTCTCAAGACCCTGTCTCAAAAACAACAAACCAATTCAGTGGATAAAGGTGCTTGTCGCCAAGCCTTCTGACGGGAATTCGATGACCAGAAACCACATGGTAGAAGCAAAGAACCGACTCCTGCAAGTTGTCCTCTAAGCTCCACACGCGCGCACGTAAACAAAAATAAATATTAGAAAATTTAAGACAAGTGATGCGTCCCCTATCCGTGGTATTATAGCTGGCTCTAGAGCTAGGACTCAAGAGAAACTGAGGCAAGGCACTACCGCAGAACCGCAAGCCCGGGCGGTGCGCGGCCGGACCGCGATGGAGGCCGCGGGCGGGTCCCGTGCGATGGCCGCACAGATCCTGTCCCCGTCGCCGTCCCCGCCCACCGGGTCTCACCTGGCTGAGGGACTGGCGCGACAGTCTGTCCGTCCCATGGCCCGGAACCGCTTGGGGAGCGGCTGCGAGCGGGTGCTTTGTCTCCCCACTGCCGAGCTACGGAGACCTGCGGGCGCCCCTTTAACCCTGAGCGGCCCGCCCTGGAGGGGCCCGCCCCCGAGCCCTACACGCCCGCCCATTGGCCAGCACCCACAGGCCCCGCCTCCGGGATCGCCACGCCCCCCTCGCTAGCATGGAAACCACTCTTAAAGGGACCGTGCTGAAGTCACTTGGAGTCTCCAGGGTTCTGTCCTAGTAAAACGGAGGACCTGAGCCAAGGAAAAACTAGTGCAGCTTCAGAAGTTAAAGACGCAAAGCTTGCGGCACGGCTCAGCGGGTTAAGGCGCTTGCTGCCTAGCCTGAGGACCTGAGCTCAATCTCTGAGACTTATAATACGGAAGGCTCCAGAGGAGTGACTCCCACTAGCGCACGGTGGCACGAGTGTGTTCACACACAAACACACACACACACACAGAGAAATGTAAGAGATGGGTGTGCTAATGCACACCTCTAATCCCACCGCAGTGCAGGCAGAGGCAGGTGGATCTCTGTGAGTTCAAGGCCAGTCTGCTCTACACGTCCAGTTCTAGACTAACCTGGACTCCCAAAAGGAGAACCTGTCCTTAAAAAAATTAACCCATGGCGTTTCCAGACAAAATCAATAGGTCTGTTGTAAATGTGCAGGACACCGTGCCATCCTAACATTTGCCCAAGTGAAAAGGGAAAGTTCTAGAAGTTAACAAAGCCGGAGGTCCGCGGAACCGCTACTCCTTTGTGTGCTCTCTCAACAGAAGTTCAGCGTCTCTGGGCTTCCATATTTTGTCCGTAAAATAGAAAGACAAGCGAATTATTTACAGGGTGTGATTCAGCAGCAGGCATTCTCAGTAAATAGGAATTGCTGGAGTTTTACTTTTTCCCCTCCTCTTCCCAAAATAACACGGTTCCACCTCCTAGAATCCTTTACTTCCTGTTCTTTCTGCCTCCTCACTTCCTTCTACCTTCCTACCCTGGGTCCTCCCAGCCTGAGGACAAGAGAAAAACAGGACAGACCAGGATCCCTGCTCCATTCCAGATCGGCTCACCAGCGCCTACTATGTGCAACCTGATCCAGAGAGAAGTAGCCAGAAGTCAATCAACAAACAATTCTAAATGTGTGGTGTGAGGAAAAGAATAGGCAAGAGCAGGAGGACAGCCTTAAGACAAATTCTCAGGATGTGTGAGACCCTTGGGAGACCTGCAGGAAGGGGGTCCCCTGAACAGCAACACTGAATAGGCCCAGTGTGCAAGTGGAGGAAAAAGAAGTTAGGGCCGCAGACTTTTACTAGGCCGCATTGCAGAGAACACTGTGAAATTGGAGGAAAACGTTGTTTTCAGGCATGCATGGTAGAACACACTTGTAATTCCAGTAGTTGGAAGAGGCAGGAGGCAAAGGCAGGAGGATGGCTGCAAAGCCATAACTACATAGCATGACCCTGTCTTAAAAAAATACTTTTTAATTAATATAGTAGATCAGGTTGGTCTTGAACTCACAGAGAGCATCTTTTCCTCTTCCCAACTTTGGGGGGGGGGATTAATGATGAGCACTATGATGCCTGACGTGCTGTTTACGTGCGCGCGTGTGGAGCTTAGAGGACAACTTGCAGGAGTGGAGGATTTTGAGCTGAAATGTGGTCTTCAGGGGCTGGAGGCCAAGCGTGAGCCTACTGCAGGGATCTGAGGAAATGCTGATGGCGCCTTGGAGCACAGTGGGACAGTAGAGGTGGGCAGTGGGCAAATTTCGTGCCTGGTTTTAAAATATACGCACAGTTTCCTGATGGCTTTCTATGTGGAGAACGAGAGACTCAGAAAAGGGGTTGAAATGGGCCTGAGAAATGGACAAAATGGAAGAGTCTGGCCGTCTAGAGAAGCTGTCACCAAACTGACAGGGAGCCGGCAGGGATCCATGGTGAAAAATAAAGGCCACCCTACCTCACACCACAGACAGAGACTGATGCCAACTGACCTCAGCATGAGAGAGGCCCCAGGACCTCTAGGCCTGAGGTGGAGAGCACTGGCCAGAGGCCCTGGTGAAATCTCCAGGTGGGAAGGAAGTCCCAGCCTCACTGAGGGAGGAAGGGAAGAAGGGAAGTCTTTGATTAATCAATCACTAGTCAAATGTTGATCAGTCAGTCATCAATTAGTTCTCAGTGGTCAGCAGGTCCTCGTCAGTCTGTCATGTCTGTCATCAGAAGTCCTCAGTCTTAGTCACTCAGTCGTCAGTCCCCACCCAGCCAGTTGTCAGTCAGTCTAGGGATCAGTTGTCAGTGTTCTGAAGTCAGTCATCAGTCAGGGGTCAGTCTGTCCCCTATCACCAGTCAGTCTAGCATGATTGAGGCCCCAGGTTCAGTTCCCAGCACCACCAGAAAAAAGAGACTTAGTCCACATTCCTCAGCCCTAGCAAACATCAGACAATTTCCTCTCTGTGTGGCTTCCCCAGGCGGATTTGCAGAACCCATGGCATTCGTTTCTCTCCATGTTCACTCTCCGGGGCTCCAGAGCAGCTCATGCTGCAGCTGATGGCATCTCCATCCTTCTCGTGACTGAGTGACGTCTCTTGGTTGCCATGGAATGCATTTTGCTTATCTGCCCATCCATGGAGGGGCCTTAGCCTGTCTCCACCCATGAGTAGCCAATACATGTGTGGCCAAGGACTGAAGATGGGTGGAAAAAATTATGAATCAGAAACCTCAGAAAGGGGAATTTGGGAACCTACATCAGACTGTGGCCACAGATAAGGTTTTGCCTCCAAACCATATCTCCAATGCAGTACACCCCATCTCTGCAGCCACTTCCCTGTCTCAGTGCCCTTTCCTCCTTGGTGCATCAGGTCCTTTCACCTCTCCCCCTCCTCCTTGGAACCCCCTGGGCTCTCAGCTCCGTGCTTCCCTGAGCAGCCTCAGGGCTCCTTTTGAAGCTTGCCTCAGAACAAATCCTGCCATTCTCTCAGTCAAAGGCACATTATGGCTCCTCATCACCTCAGAACCAAATCCAGAGTGCTCCCTGCCGGTCACAAAGCCTTCCTTGTGCTGGCCCTGGCCACTCCTCCAACCTCCTCCTGCATGGTTCCCTTTCTCCCTTCTCCCATCATCACTACCTCCCCTCCCTGTGTTCCAGGACACACTGTGCCCCAGACCTCTTCCTGTCTACTGTTCCAGAAGACTCCCCACATCCTCCAAGATTTGGCTACCCCATCTGATTCCTGAGGCTTCACTGGTCCACTTCCTCTTCAAAGAGGTAGACGAACCCCAGCCCTTTGTACTGAATTCAGTACCTTCTTTCCTTTCAGTTACACAGCCAGTTGCATTTAGAGAGCTTCTGTCCCAGGTACTCAGAAAAGAAGTTTTAAAAAGTGCCATGATAATCCCAGCTTTAATCCCAGCACTTGGGAGGCAGAGACAGGCAGATCTCTGTGAGTTTGAGGCCAGCCTGGTCTACAGAATGGATCCCAGGACAGCTAGGGCTACATAGAGAAATCCTGTTTTTTTGTTTGTTTGTTTGTTTTGTTTAAAAAAACAACAACAGAGGCTTGAGACAGCAAACTCCACAGAAGCAAGTACAAGAGAGCAACCGCTGAGGGAGTGGACGGGAACCAGAGACCTCTGTGGGTCAAGGCATGAGTCTGGGACCTCTAAGGGAGTGGGCCTGAGCCAGGACCTCTGCCAGAGCAGGCCCAAGGCAGCATCCTCGCAGAAAGAGCCCCAAGCAAGCAATCTCTGTGGGAG